TCAAAGGCCTGTGGGGACGTCACTTCGTGAACCAGGTGTCTGTCGATGTAGATCAGGAGAGTGCCATCTTCCTGCTCGTTGACAATGTGGTGGTCCAGGACCTTGTCATACAAGGTCTTGAGCTTTTTATCGACGCCGGGCATGAGGGGCGAGGATCGAGGGAGATGTGTAAGGACAAAGAGGTGACTGTGCAGCTGGATGAGGCGGGCGAGAGTATAGAAGAGCTTGCACAAGGCACGCGAGACAAAGGTGAAGGATGATTTAATGATGAGCAGAAAAGCAAGAAGAGACAAGAGATGGTTTTAACAGCAGCGCCCGCCGCGATGTCGCACCGCCGCCCGCCGAGGGGCAACGCCGGTCTCGGTGGTCAGCACCCAATGGCCCTCTGCCGATTGGACGGCACCGAATTTTCTGGGGGCAGTGGGGTCCGATGTCGGGGGTGGGGCGGTTAGCGACGGTAGTGTGACTAACCGACCGTGTCTGATTCGAAATTTCCCTAGCAATGAATGACTCCTTCCTTTACTAAGTAGGAATGACTCTTAGGCACAACGTTTAGCCCGACATGCAGCAAATTCCTTCAAAAATCACTTTAGAGTTGCACAGAATAGGCGTGGTGTTTGTACCTCACTATTATGGAGACGACTCCCTGCGAATGTCATCATATCCGGGAACATTTCACTATGAACGGCGCTACTCAACCAAAAGAGGGAAAGGCTGGGGTGTTCTGGTTAGATCCCGTCGGGCGTCCGGCCAGCTGGGAATTCTGGGCCGATCCAGTTTGGAGCTCTTTTGCGCCGTCACTGTGGGTCGGGCGGTCAGTTGGTGCATTGGCGTATCGTATCATTACTACTCATGAACTACAGACATCCTTGGCCAGGACTATAGGGACTTTGCTTCTTTGGACAGTGGACAAAAGGATATTGGATAAGTCTATGCTCGAAACCGATACCAATCTATACAGGCCGAGAGTCATCGGCATCTATACATAATTGAACGCCCGGTTGTCCTCGCGGAAAACAAGCAGAGCTAAACGGTGTCGCACAAAAAGCCCTAGAAGCCCGCACACAGTCTGCAGACCAACCATGCTCAACGCGAGCCGATCTTCTCTTAGCGGTCCCATCCAAACGAGCCACAGGTTGAGAATAGTAAGATTCGTGGACTGCAAGATTTGTCCATTCTCGTTTCTGGTGACGCGCACCAGGCGCAGCTTGTGCAGGAGTTCCAATGCGGCGGCAATCAGTGGCGCAGGCGGTATCGTCCATTCCGTCACGGATGCATCCAGCAGCCCGGTCACGGAATTGAACTTGGGAAGGCGGTGGCGTGGACATGGGATCAGATGAAACAGCTGAGGGGTGGAGTATAAGAAGTTGAAGATCTGAGGGATGAACAGAAGGAGCAGTGTTTTGCTGAAGTGGCCGAGAATGCCGACGACAGCAAAGACCATTCCTGCAAAGTAGCAGTACGTATCCCCGACAAAAACCTTGGAGGGGTACCAGTTGTGGCATAGAAGGGCCAAAGATACTCCAACAAATGGCAGGAGAAAGTACAACGAGAACAGATGCGAGTCAGTCGCAGGATGCGGGTAGGGCGTCACCGGCGCAAGGTACAGTGCGTCATTCGCAATCAGCAAGACTGCTATCACGAGCGACTGGGCAACTTCCACTCCATTGACCCCCGCCAACATGTTGATTGAGTTGGGACAAAAGATGGCCACAGCAGCCATGTATGCGTAATACAGCCATCCGAGATCAATGAACGGTCCCAGATAGGGCTGCAGAGGAACGGGCACAACCACATGCGTGACCCCAAAATCCACAAAGTAAACGATAAGCATCGGGATCGCACCGAATGCGGGGATGAGAACTTTATGCCGCCATCGAATGTCGAGCAAGTCGTCGCCGATCCCGAGAATAACAATGCACTGAAGAGAGAGCAACCCGGAGAGGTAGGAGGCAAGCTATCGGTTTGCTTATTAGCATACAGAAGGCGTCATTTGCTGTTGAGGATGGCAAACCTTTCCATGAGGAAACCGATGTAGCATGCGACCATGTTCAACGTGTTGGGTTTCAATAACAACATCGCGATTACCTCCCCCCGAGGTCGCTGCGACGATATCTTTGTAGAATGCGAAGGGGATGAAGAAGATGAGCGCAAGGAGATATACGATGGAGCAAACAGCTCCCATAGTCTCTGGTCTGAGCCGTAGACACATTAATCACCATGATTCTGATCAAAAACACGTTCGCGACCATTGCACGGTGATCGGCGAGCAGATAGAAGCACATACATTTCGGGCCTTTTCGGTTTGGCCATATCCTTCCCCTTCAGCCCTGCTTTGAGGAAAGTAGGCCCGAGCCAACGGATCATACTGAATGTCACAGCAAACGCAATGCCACTGAAGGCAATCGACGCGATCAGGGGTGCACCTTCGCCTTGAAATGTATTGGACAAGGTGCCGACGCATACTGCCACCAAGAGGAAGAGGCGCCAGGCCTCCTGGTGGGAGAGAGAGCTCGAATTGACTAAGGTCATCGCGGGCGAGACAGTATCAGCATACCGGCTTTACACCCCCGAGAATTAATATTGACAAGTCTCCAGCATGTGTTTAAAAAGACTACGAAGAATGGCAAGGTGGCATTAGGGAATGGTGGAGAAAGGCGTACGACGCATTTCGTTTTGCCGACGTACCTCCACCGCCCGGTGTCTTTAAGAAGGCGGTGTGAGCGGATCAGGCACATGTGCATCAGATAACAGCTGTGTTAGGTAATCAATGAATGGATGACTGCGTGACAAACCAGCAGCAATCCCAACAAACCCAGTGCTTCACATGCATGTGCAATTTTCTGATACAATTGGAGAAGGGGTGCTATCGGAGACGCATGGATAGGCCAAAAGCATCAGCATCACACCCCCAACCCTGAATTACTACCCCTCCAGCTCCCAGCTGACTGTCGACGTGTCTCATCCTGTGTCAAGGGCGGTGGCTGTGAGGCTGGTTGTTTCGCCCATCTAATTGGGGGTGAAATCCCGGGTTCGCATACCACATCCATGTCCGGTTTCGCGGATTTCGATGCCGGTCATCGTGACCTGGTGTCAGTCACCAAGTTCAACTTTTATGGCAATCGCATCCTAACGGCTTCGACCGACCACCGCATGAAGGTTTGGGACCAGAAAGATGGAGAATGGCGATTAGTAGATACATGGCGCGCCCATGACGCGGAAATCCGCGATGTAAGCTGTCTTAACACCGACCGCAGAAACTGGCTTTGTGTTGACGATAGACTGTTTAGGCGACTTGGAATGGACCTTTCACTGGCCAGCACATTGGCAGCGTTGGGGAAGATATGAAATGCAAGATATGGCAAGAGGATGTTACGCAGCCTCTCAACTCGGGCCGGCGTTTTAGATCCATCTTTCGCATGACAGCGCCGCAGCGCCACCCGTTTGTCTCCATTGACTTTCGCAACATCGATCTCGAGTCGTGGCTCGCGGTAATCACGCGCGACGGGTATCTAATGGTAATGGAGCCGGTCAGCCCGGACACCCTTGCCGATTGGCAGCCCTTGGATCAATTCCGTGTCTGTAGTGCGCCTCAGAGAGGGGAGGAAACGAGCTTCAAGGTCCAGTTTCACCACGACCCTACGGACATCACCCATTCAGTCTCGCCATCCTGGGACAGGAAAAGCCTTTCTCTGGTGGTGGCAGCTATGGACAGTGTCAAAGTGTACCGCACCGATGCCAATCGGCGCTTTTACCATGCGATCGAGCTAAGTGGCCATGGTGGACTGGTCCGGGACATCTCCTGGGCCAATGGCTCGGTTCGCGGATACGATCTGATTGCGAGCGGTTGCAAAGACGGATTCATTCGTGTATTTGAGGTCTACACATCCCCGTCCGAAACCAAGACCAAGAAACAAAATGGTAATCATTCTCGATCCGCCTCACAGTCGCTATCAGTGCGTACGCAAGCCCAGTCTGGAATTGGATCAGCTCTGGCAAATCATGCCCCTGCCTCGCTATCCGACCGTGCGGCAACAGACGATTCCAATTTCAAACATTCTTACAAGGAAGTCGCCTGTATTGATAGCAAGCACCTTGATGTATGGCAAGTGGGCTTTTCCTACGCCGGTAAGTAATGCAATCCCTCCCTCACGGTACTATGTTTAGACGTCTAAATTCTAATAGGAGATTGTCTGATCTCTTCGGGTGATGATGGTGCTGTGCGTTTCTGGAAGAAGTCTCTTTCAGGGCAATGGCTCGAATATGCCGAAACTGACATGGCTTCCCAGTAATTTACTTCCCTGGTTGGAATTTGTCGATTAGATTTATCAGGATGCAGGCGCTAAGTATACCCATATCCGCGTCGCGAGGACATGATCTTGTTTCCAGCACTCTCTATCATCCATGTTTTATTAGGTCTTTGTTATCCTGACCAAATTTCCTTTTCATGCTCAAGAGGCGTTTGGTATGGATCGCACCTTGGTAGGGGTCATAGATTATTGCTTAATATCTGCTTAATCTTGCTTTCCTGGTATCCTCATATAGTAGAAACGATACCAATACAACACTAGTGATTCCCTCCCTGTGATCGCTCTTGGTGGTCGCTCTTCCTTATACTTGCTTGCCCTGATGCATCCGAGCCTCGACTACCTCCCACGCACTTTCCTTCAATCTCCAGATCGAGGTTCGCAAAAGGTAACAGCTACTTACGTACAGCCTGTAGCCCACCTACATTACTAGGTACATGTATGTACCTACCTTCTATCTCTGGACTCGGTCTTTTCGTGTTGGTGTATGTTGGCGTCGCTGAACGAGGAAGGTGCCAAACACCCTTCTTCTCTCGACTCAAAATCATCTCCCCGTCTCTTCGAATCCTTTTCTTCTTCACCTCTTCAGCATTCTTCTTCTATACATACACATACCTCCCTTCCAGCCTTTACCAGTATATCTACATCATCAGCTCACTCCTTTCATTATCATTATTGGTCCAACCACACACAATGATTCTCTCAACTCTTGGAACGGGCCTCTTCATCGGTGCCGGTCAGGCTTTGGCCGTCGGTGGTCCAGCAGCACTCGTTGGCTCATATGTCTTCCTTTCCATTCTGATGTATTGCCTGACGACCGCCGTGGCTGAAGTGGCAGCCCATCAACCTCGTCCCTTTGGTACTCTGATTACCCATGGGTATCACTACAGCTCAGGTCATCTCGGATTCTCCCTTGCTTACTTACGATGGTACACTCTGGCAATGATGGTACCGTTTGAAGTCACCACCGCGATGATCAGTCTCGGTCAGTGGGATCCGGCGCCCTCCGTTGCTATACGGATCACAGCAGTCACCCTTGCGATCTTTCTGTTCAACATGCTTCCGGAACGGGAATTTATGCGAAGCGAAATCATCTTCACCGGCTTGAAACTCTTCACCGCTGTCGGGTTCATGATTGTCTCCATCTACATGGCCATTCGGGGTATTCCTGGCACAACAATCCGAGGGTTTCATTATTGGCATGAACCTGGCCCGTTTAGTGAATACCTGGTTTCCGGAAACGGGGGTCGCGCTTTGGGCTTCCTCCAGTGTCTTCTCTACACGGTGATTGCCTTCTCCTTCGTTCCGGAGTTGATCGTGCAAAAAGTCGAGCGTCGTGAAGCGGAGAACCCTTCAAGCATCCTGCGGTCAACACGGCTTGCAAGTCTCCTACTCTTCACGCTCTACACTGTCAGTGCCTTCATGATGACCTTCATGAGTCCCTTCGACGAGCCCTCCTTGACGAACGATGGCCTCGGGGCTGGAGCTTCACCCTTCGTCGTTGGTATCGATCGGGCTGGCATCCGTGCGCTATCTATACTTGCTAGGGCGATGATCTGCATCTCTTCTGTTGCTTCTGGACGCTCGTTTCTCTATCATTCATCTCGCACACTCTGTGCCTTGGCTGAGACTGGCCATGCCCCCACACTCTTCACGGCCCGCAATCGACTGAGCGTGCCGTATGTAGCTGTTGTTGCCTCTGCCTTGTTTGCGGTATTTGGGTATCTGTCGGTGTCAGTGTCCAGCTCTTCTGTGCACAACTCATTGCTGTACTTCATCACTACGTCGAGCTCCATCTCATGGCTCGGTGCCTGTCTCGTCTACATCCGATTTCGACGACAGACAGCCGATGAAGGCTTTCTGCAGGTGTACCAGTCCAGCATCCAACCTTATGGGGTGTATCTGGCTGTTGTGGGTTGCGCCGTACTACCTATTGCCAACAGCCTCCTCATGGCTTTCCCTACACCACCCGCAGATGAAGCCCCTGCTCTGTCTGGACTGAAGGTCCGCAACGCGGTCCCCGTATACACCAGCATTGCCATCTTCTGGATGCTTTACTTGAGCCATCGATTCCGAACTTCCTTGACGCAGGGGTTTACCTCGTTCCGCACAGTTCCCAACGAGCAGGCGCAGAACAAAGCCCGCGCCGGCTCTGGTCGATCATCTGGACAGCGTGTGTGGTGGGAGATGGCACGGTCAAGAAAGGATTCTCCTCCTCGCCCCGCTGAGGCCGAATCTACAATGGGGCCATGAGGGAATCAATGAGGTTGATTGAAGGACGTTACTGCAATGGTGAACTTGGCGCTCCGCCTCGTACCTTGTATTATCATTATCCTACTGCTTGTGGCATGGGGATTCATGGTTTCATTTTGTATTCTTAAAGGGCAACGGACTTGTCATATACCTATACCTACCTAAGGTCGTGTACTACTTGTATCTTTGAATCGAGGTTTCCAACTTGATCCAATGTTTGTCTTACACAGCCAGGGATGCCGATGATAAACCACAATCTTTAGAGGGAAGTCAGTAGCTGCTAGGTTGGGGGGCAACAAAGCCGGTAGGTAAGCTTGGGGGGAGCGGTGATTTCGCCACGCGCGGGCTGGACAGCGGATGCTCACCCGTCAGCCCCTACTAGGTAATGTATTTTACCCGCTACGGTTGGTAAATTATTGTCAACACTATTGCACCGCTCAGTCACCACCGTCACTGCAACGCTAGAAATTGTTCTTACCGGGGGTGCTAAGGATGCTGAGTGCTCTCCGGGCTTACTTTGAGGTCATTTGGCTCTGCTTCACTGTATTATTCTTCAAGTCATGAGGTCCCTCCTCCCCTCCCCCTTTGCAGTCAGCTTGTGAGTCTGCTAATATGACTGCTATCTCGAACCATCATAAAGTGGCATCACCTCTACTGCAGAGGTCTCAACACGAATTTTGGAAGGCTAAAGAGGGATTATAAGATCTAATTGGGCTGATAAAGCAGTCTTCATCTCTCCGACACACTCCCTCTCACACTCGCCTTCGCGATGCTTGTCTGCCTGGCTAGCTGGTAACGATTGATACCAAGCCAGGTGCAAACCAACCCACCGCACCGGGTATGGGTAATCTATCAGTCATGAGAGGATATTTTTTTCCACACCTACGATTTTCCCTGCTCACAGACCATTCCATTTATTATTGCACTTCCCTTCCCTTTTCCTTTTCCCCTTTTCTTTTTGCAACCGCCACCCTGAGTCCTATGACTGACCACACAGCCTTGCTGCTGGGACTTTCCGCCCATTCAAATATGATGGGGATCCTGGCTCTTCAAACTACGATCACCACTACTCACTCACTTTAACACCTCTACACCTACCTACCCGAGCCCTGTCGATAGATGGGACGTTACCTGCCCTTTTCATCATTGACGGTCAGGCTAGCACATAGGAGTTGCTTTCTGATCTCTGCTTCTGTTCACTGACCATGCCCTTACGAGGAGGACCTTCCCTGCCATGGTTCATGGTTCATGATCGGGTCTCCCGACCAAGCATGCAGCCGCTCGTCCCCTTTGCCGCCTTGAGTTGGTACCGACTTTACCACCACCAACTGCCGCACTGGGGACCAAGCACTTGATTGATCCTGTCTTGCTCATGACTTGACTTTGCTCTACTGCTAACCATCCATTAAGACTAACGCTTTTTTGAATCCAACCTAAAGCTTCATCATTTCTGGGTTGACACCCCGGTCCAGGTTTACAGGTTACAGTGACAATTATAGTCTCATCACGAACCATGATGGGCAACGCATGCATGAGTTGTCCCAGGGCGGTCGTTGGCCTGAATTACGACGGGCAGGTTGACCGACATTATTGTTGATGGCAGCTAAAATGATCCACATTCAGGTGCATTCGGGCTTCGTCGTCCCTTTCCTCCTCTCTTTTCCTCTTTTCCTTTTCACCTTCACTCGCAATGTTCCCTTTCAGCCCAGATCCCTATTGTTTATGTGTTTCATTTCATGGGAGAGATGGCCGGACGAGCTCGCTAGCTATTTTCCCTCCTCATCTCTTTTACCAGAACTTTCCCCACATCTCGCAAATGGATTATACTCATGTTCCGTCTTCCTTCTTCTCACCTCTTCCCGGGTTGATCTACTGAGTTCGATGCCCCGGCAGCACCATTCCTCTTTCTGCCTGCCTCTCACATGATCCATGATTTTCCTTCCCCCCCGCTGTGAATCAGCTACGGGGCTTGGCACCCGTCTCTTCCCTGATTGAGACTAGCGGGCTCTTTCCTACCGGGAACGGCAAAGCGGGATTTCTCCACCTCTGGTCGCTTCCAGGCAACCATGAATCTTCGCCTGAGAACTCAGGCTGAGAGTAGAAAGAGACTCGAACTCGAGGGCTTCTCGGTCTAGCTCGACGTGGGTTCGTTTCCGGCTGCCCTCTAAGCAACGCAACGGGCTTGGAACCTGTGCTTCCCTCCAAGGCTCTCTCACTCAGGGTGGGTGGGTTTAGCTACGAGCCTACGACTCTCCCTCCCTCCCTCCCTCCCTCCCTCCCTGTCTTTCGTTCCAGCTTACAATTCGTTCGTTGCTCGGACTGTCCGTCGTCGGATCTGTCCCTTACCCAAGTTATGCTCACCACTCATCACTAACAAATCAATTCTTCCCTTCCCCCCCTCTTTCTGCCCGCAATCATTATCGACCCTCCCCCTCAACAAAAAGGACACTAAGAAAGGACAAGTCTAGGAGGTCCAAATCGCGGACCAGAATTAAAGCAAAAGCGAGAAGAGCGAAAAAAGGGCACTCACTGTTCGAGGACACCTACTCCATCAACCACCCCCCAGTCACGATTGACACACTTTCCCACCCCCAGTCCTTGAAGCGGGTGGGAGAAAAAATTCCACGCCATTCCTTTTTCTCTCCGGGTCTTGGACGCGCCGCTTGGATGGCCCATCCGTGGCTTTAGCCTCTCTCTCTCACTCACTCTCGCTCTCTCTCTGTCTCTCTCGTTCTCTCGCTCGCTGCCTTTGCACTCCCTCCCTCTGACCCTCTGATCCACTCTCACTCACTCTCTTCCCTCTTCACTCTCGATCTCCCTTCCTCTTACCTCGACTCCCTTTCACTCATCCACCGTCCCATTCCTTTTGAACTCCTCTTTTGACTACACTCTCATCTTAATTACCAATTACCTTCTTCATACTAGCTCTTCTCTCCCCTTTTGTCTTATCCTCACCTCCCTCGACTATTACTAACCGACGATCACCTTCACTGGGACATCCTCCTCACCTCGCCCTCCATCTCTCGGCCGTCTACCCCAATTTTCGCCTCTTCTCCATGCGATTCGTGGCCCGTCCGCCCTTCCATAGTCGTCGACTCTCAATCATCGATACCCTTTCGCGTTCATCTAGTCGCACGCGCTACCGACAATCACGACATCACTAACGCCTCCTTCGACACCTTTTCCCTTCGAGACTCGATCTGAGACCTTCTTTCCAATAATCTTCCCTCCTTCAGCGCCGAAATCTTCTACCGTCGCTTACAGCCGAGTCCTACTTTGTGGTTCGTTGTTCGTGTTTTCGTCGAGTCGGGACATCGTGGACTGGTTCCTCTGCGCCCAAGTGGTTTCACCTTAGCGTGGTCCTGCTGCTGCTTTAACCTGTGTGTATCGCTGAGGCCAGAAGAGCAGTTCGTGTTGTTGACATGCGTGTTGGTCTGTGATACAATACCACTACGAGCCGTTCGTCTACCCGAACAACCACCGCGTGTCTCTTGTCCAATCTGAGAGGGGGTATTCTGTCGGATTATGACAGATACCTCCCCAGTCGCCATCACGCACCCCATCACGGACCCTTATCCGGTCACCGTCCCGCTGCACTCACCCGGCGTCAACGGCACCGTTTCCGACTCCATCGCCCCGGAAGAGGAGGAGCCGTATACCATCAAGTGCATCTGCGCTTTTGAGGATGATGATGGAAACACGGTTTTCTGTGAAGGGTGCGAAACTTGGCAGCATATAGAGTGCTATTACCATGGTCGAGATGTGCCCGACGTGCATAACTGTGTCGATTGCGAACCGCGTCATCTGGATGGGCGGCGTGCAACCGAACGGCAGAGGCGTCTTAGGGAACAGAATGACGGCGGTGACCGGAAAACCAAGCGATCTGGAAATAAGAGTCATAAGAAAAAGATCAAAGAACATGGTGACCAGGTAAATGGATTTCATCATCGATCGGAATCCGCATTGCGCGATCAGCCCGTTGCAAAGAAGATTAAGACAAATCATCGTGCTTCGGGGTCGATTAGCTCTGTCTCGGGTGCTCCGGGTCTTCCACCTGACCCACGGAAACGGGCTGCAGCGTCCATGAGCCCCATAAAACCGGCTGGCCCTCCCATCCCCCTCTATTCGCACGAATTCTTACACCTCTATGATCATGATAACGATTATGCGAGTATGGACAGCAACTTGTTTGTCAACCTTCCCTTGGCCGCAGATCTGGCTTCCTGGGTAACGGAACCAACCGCTCTGGCCCGAATTGCCAACGGGCGGTCCGCGCAGGATATCTTTACTTGGTCTGGAGCATCACTTGACCGGTCGCGGTGGCCCACACTGTCAACTGAGTCTATCACAGAACCTAGTATTGAATTGGAGGGCCAACACCCGACATGGAAAGTGCTTAAGACCAGAGATCGTGTGGGGAAGGACGAAATCGTTGGGGAAATCACTGGCAAGATTGGACTGCTGCGAGATTATTGTCTCGATCCCAGTAATCGGTGGCAGGAGCTCCGCCATCCGGAGCCTTTCGTCTTCTTCCATCCCCAGCTTCCGATCTATATCGACAGTCGCCATGAAGGTAGCGTTCTGCGCTACGTGCGGCGGTCTTGCCGTCCAAACGTGACGATGAAGACATACATCACGAACCAGGTAGAATATCACTTCTGCTTTGTTGCAAAAGAAGATATTGCTCCTGACTCCGAGATTACTGCCATGTGGTATCTGGATCCTCAGCTGTTTGAATCAAGCAATGGTCTAGTCAAGCAAGAATCGAGTGATAGTGCTCAAGACAATGCTGCCATCTGCATCAGCAATGTTCTCGCCCATTTTGGCGGCTGCGCTTGCGTTCCACCCTCAAACTGCTTGCTGGCCAGCGTAGATCGCCGGCGACACCCCAGATTATTGGACGCCAGCATGAAACAGGCAAGCCTCAAACGGAAGAGACCCAAGACAAAACCCACCATTTCCCCCACCGCTAACAGTCGCGCTGGGAGTGAAACGACCAAGGTTATGGATGACGATGATCAAGCCGACAGTCGCTCTGCATCAGGCTCTGTGCGCGGACAGACTCGCAGTCGCGACCTGACCCCCACACTGCAGACTTCGACCGAGAACTACTTGCTGGGAGACTCCGAGCTCTCCGCCCGCGAGAAGCGGAAAATCGCGGCGGCCGAGAAGAAGTTCCAGCAATTGGAACAGGATCAGCAAGCAACCAACAAAAGAAAGAAGCGAGCTAGTGGTCAGTCAAGTCACGGTCGCGAGCGTCAATCGCACTCCCCACCGGCTGGTACTCTGCCTGGGCCGTTGCCTAGTGGGCGTCACGGTTCTCCCCGCAAGATGTCGAACAGCCATAGCATTCCTTCTGTCCAATTTCCACTTGGGCGCCCTCAATATGTGGACTCTGCAATTCAAACTGAGCCTGAAGCTCCTATCGACGGAATCTCCTCTTCGCCTACCCCTCGACGACCTAGTTTCGTGCCATTGACTCAACGTTTGTTGAAACGATGCTATTTCGATCGTATTCGCTTCGAAAAAAGCAGTCAATCTATATCACCTCCAACAAAACCAGTCAGACCTCTGGACTCGCCCCCTGCGTCTCTGAGTCCCCTTGGGGGTCTCCCATTTGAAGCATCGATTCCTAGTACGTCAGGCGATAAGAACGATGCCGATATGAAGGATGCCGATTCGCCTATTCCTTCATCGTCCTCGCAAGCTTATCCCGCACAGCTCGAGACCTCGTCATTGGACCGCGGCATGGTCAAGCCTCCTTTGCCACCTCCGTGGCCATCAACAGCCGCTCACAATGCTCGAATACCACTGAAGACAGTCAGCCAACGTCGTCCCGAACTTCACGTTCGTCTTCCTCCCATGACCATCATCTCTCAATCATCTGCCCCAAGCCCTGGGTCTGCGCCTGTGTCGACATCATTATCTCCTTCGGCAGATGCACCTCCCCAACCTGCATTGCCCGCCCTTGCTTCGTCGAGTATTGTTGCTCCCAGTCCCGTCAAGAAGAAGCTCAGCCTGGGAGACTATATAATTCGGCGTGGAACCAAAGCAACGCCGTCGGTAGAGAAGACTCAGCTCCAGACCACTGGGATGCCTTCAACGACCCCCGCCGCATCAGGACCCGTGCATAGCAATTCACCAGGGGACATCGAAGCGACCAAGGGTGATGATCGACGCTCCCAGGATATGATGATGAAAGATATCCCTGGACCTACACCTGCCTCTCACTTGTCTTCACTGACGCGATGATGATTGGGCATTGGGGTTGGATGACAGGCCTGTCACTTGTTTGAGTCACTGTGCTATGCTATGCAACCATGTTTTTGCTGTTTTCATGTCTATTTTCTTTCGACCTGTAAAGGATGGGATTTGCGGGCGTTCTATGGGTGCCCTTCTGTTTTTCACTGGCGTATCAGGCGTGTTGGGATGGGAGCGGGTTAGGTAAATACTTTTGGGACTGGGATGGGCAAAGGATATCACGGATGGGTTTAGGCCGACCTACACTATTAGGTCAATGATCTGCAGCACTCGCTTCACGATTGTCTTTATTACTATTATTTTTTCTTTTTTTTTTTTTTTTTTTTTTTTTTTTTTTTTTTTTTTTTTTTTTTTTTTTTTTTTTTCTCTTCTTTCTTCTTGTTCTTCTCTTCTTATCCTTTTTTTCTTTCTCCTCTTTTATTACTAGGAACTTTTGTGCCCAGGACACTGGGACTGACGACTCTTAATCAGGATTGCTAATGAGGAATGAGAGCGTCTTTGATTGCTTTCACGTGGTGTTACTATTGTAATTATCAGTACGTACGGAATATGCTCGGTCAGTTCATGAAGGAGTGGACTCGAGGCGGATGCTGCCTCTGCCTTGATGACATCGTATCTTCCCCTTGCTAGTCGACTCCTGAGCATCCTATCAACCACTTCATTACTATTACACTGGCAATGTCGAATCAATCAGATCTGAAGCCAGGCAACAGCCAACCAGCCAACGAGGCGGATAAGATTAATTCCATCCCTTTACGTCTTATCCTGCAAAAGACTTTTCCGCTTGTACACGCCGTCCCTGGCCAGACTGTTGAGGCACGACCCGCTTATCATGGACACGAAGAGAAAAAGGAGTTGATGACGTCTGAGGATGAAACAAACCTTGTGAGAAATCGTGCGAGGACTATAGGCGCTGTCTATGGCGGAGCTAACTGTGTACGTATGTATACATAGCCGAGATCCCAGAGATTGAAGGGGGGTCTTTGCCACCATCCCCAGGACCACTCTCAATCCGAATTAGTCGGCCCTACACTTTCAGAGAACCACACTATATATTGTAGTAGTCCAAGCATTTTGATTCCAGACAGGCTCGCAAGCTCCACCGACCATGACCGAGGTTGCCTGATGCAATGGGATGACATCAAGAGACGGATTGAGATGATGACGCGGGCCGAATCGAGGCCTATCGGGAGCAGACAGGGAGACAAGAATCGAGGGCAACAGCAAGCACTAGCAAATCTATATAAACAGGCATGTGGTCTCTGAGGTTGATGGTAGACCAAACTCCAGCTACTGATGTTATCTGATATATTCACCATGGTCGTCAACATCACTGCCGAAGATCCCCAGCCCACCATCCACAGCCACATCAACGGCACCACCAATGAGATCCTCGATCGGCTCTGCGTGACCGAGCTTCTCAAAGGCTGGCCGGTATACCGAGACGCCTCGGAATGGGCCCATTACCGGAACTGCTTTGCCGAGCAGGCGTACATCTTCACCAGTCGGTTTCCCCTTCCCTTCCCTTCCCTTCCCGTCCATCTCTCAATTCGTTCCAGCAACTGATCTGTCTATCTCTTGTAGCCTGGAGTGGAGGCATGCCCATCGATGAATTCATCGAAGTCTCCAAGAAGGGCCGGCGCAACGGGGACCACATCATGCACCGCGAAAACGGCACGCTGGTCGAGTTGAACCCGGACACCGGCCGCGCCGTGGGCAAGATGAAGGCCACCATCACCCAGCGCTTCGACTTCAACGGGGTGGATTGCGACGTCGAATGCGACTGTCGCTTTATCATGTGGTGCCAGAAGGACCCTGCGGGCTGGAAGGTGCACTACAAGCGTCTGTTCTACGAGAAGGACAAGATCCTGCCCGTCGACGGCAAAAACGTCCCCGATTTTTCGGCGGAGGAGTTGAAGCCGTACCCCTATGGGTATCGGTATCTGGGCGCGGCGCAGGCCCGTCTGGGCCATAAAATCAAGCTGGATTTGCCGACGATGGAGGATAATGATAAGTTTCGGGGAATGTACGAGGCTATGGAGAAGTGGTTGCGCGGGGAGGATATCAAGGAGACGTTGGGGATTCCGCTGTGATTGCTGGGGTTGCTGTGGAGGAGATTCTATTTTTGTGTTGTTGATTTAGGCGCATTTTCTCTAGGAGTGTTGGTGATCTTTGCTTGATCGAACCAACTTGCATGGATTAATCATGAGTCACGAGTCTTGAATATGAAGTTTGTTGGTGCAGATCCTCATCGATAGCATTGCGGGGTATACTTCAAACGTTCTTTCCTTTCCTCTCATTAACCTCCCTCAAGTTCCTTATCCTTCACCTCAACTTCGCTCCATCCTGCTTGCAATGGCTTCCTACGAACTGGAGAATGTTCAATCTCAATTACATCGAGGACCTTCTATCGATCGGGTTCAACCGAGGGCTTCGATGGAACTTGAACAACCGTTGCTGCCGCCGGTCGACCAAGGCAGAGGAGCATGGCTGATCCTAGCATCCTGCTGTCTTATTCAACTTCCAGTGTGGGGTATGCTTCGTACTCGACCGAGAAGAAGCTGTTTACTTAGCTCACTGGTGCAGGGTTCTCCCTCGTCTCCGGTCTTTTCCAAGAATACTTCGAGACTCACAATGAACTTGATGGAAGCACTGGAGGTTTGGCGATTGTGGGGACCACATCGATGGTAGGCGTGTACCTTCTTCATCACCCCATGGGCTGACTGATAAACATATCGAGTAGGGAATTCTGTACCTGTTATCGCCTATCAGTTTTACCCTCCTGACCCGCTACCCTCATCTGCAGAAATACTGTGCCCCGGTTGGACTGGTTCTCAGCGTCGGAGGATCTTTACTGTCATCCTTCGCCCACACTGTCTGGCAATTGACAGCTACCCAAGGCGTCCTCTGTGGACTGGGCAACGGCCTCGTCTTCAGCCCAACGACGCTCCTCCTCGACCAGTGGTTCATACGCCGTAAGGGCCTTGCATATGGCATCATGTGGGCCGGCAAAAGCGTCTGCGGCGTGGCGTTGCCCTTCCTGACAAGCGCTGCTCTGGATCAATACGGAGCGAGAACCACCCTACGAGCCTGGACAGTTATCACGGTAGGGAGAACACCCAACAATGCTAACCCTGAGGATCTAGTCTGACTTGACATGATACAGCTTCTCACGACTTTGATAGCACTTCCCTTCATCAAGCCCCGAGTTCCTCCCGCGGCGTCCACGTCGCCCCAGCCTCTCAACCTCGCGTTCCTAAAACTGCTCACGTTCTGGACGCTGGAGCTGGCAAACATTATCCAGAGTCTCGGATACTTTCTCCCGAGTACCTACCTCCCATCCTACTCGACAACGGCAGCCGGGCTGTCCGAAACGACCGGAACACTCCTTCTGGCTTTGTTCAATGCCACCTCCATCGTTGGCGGCATCGTTCTAGGCTCCATGTGCGACCGCTTCGCCGTCTCCAACATCATGTTGCTGTCGTCGGTGGGCTCGGGGCTATCTGTGTTGTTATTCTGGGGACTCTCTTCCGCTGCCACCAACCAATCTTCTTCCTTCGAGCATCTGCAACCTCATACCGCACTTGCCCTGTTGACGGTTTTCTCGACCACCTACGGCTTCTTTGCAGGAGGGTTCAGTTCCACTTGGTCCGGCGTCCTGACGCAGATCAAGCGGGAGGTGCCCTCCTTGGAGACGGGGCTAGTCTTTGGGCTTTTGGCGGGGGGTAGGGGTATCGGGAGCGTGATCAGCGGGCCGCTGAGTGAGAAGTTGATGCAGAGAGGTTCTGTTGTTGGGGTCCATAGTGGAGTGAGCACGGGGTATGCGACTGACTACGGAGCTGTGATTTTGTTTACAGGAGTCACTGCTCTGTTGGGAGGTTGGAGCTGGGGTTGGAGCTGGATGAGGAAGTTTCGGAACGATCTCTAGTTTTGAGTACTTTAGTTTAGGTGTTTGAACTGAAACTAGATTACCAAGGAGTCTACTCATACTTCGCAAAGTGAGTAGACGGCAGGGAGTGGGCCTGCCAGTTGGCCAGGCCCCAAACCTCCGGGGATGAAATCACGTGTTCAGCGCGCGCATCGAGAAAGTCGCTCTCAACTGAAGCTTCCTTCAACCTCCAAAGCTGCGCTGCAATACCTCCACTTTTCCTCTTTTCCTCTTCTGCTATTATAGTTCTTCGAGCCCCCCGCCCCCGAGCAGTGATAATTTCCCTTCAATTCTGACTCGGAACTTTGGTCTTCGCTCCAACATTGCGGTGGCTTCCAGCTAACATCTCCCACCCTCTTGACCTCAAACTACACACACCACCACAAACCACACTCCCGAAACGACCATTGGGAGACCGACCACCCCACGATGGCCACCAATTTTCCCAGCATAGATCCCCTTCTCGCCCTCCGCCAAGCCCTCCTCTCCAACCACCCCCCACGACCGACAACGTCCTCCTCCCCGACCGACCCACCCACCGAACCCGACCTCGATCTCGCCAAAGCCACCCACCTGTACTTCACGCACCTCCCGAGCAACCCCCAGACCATCGCCCTCAACACCCCGACGCGCTTTGTCTCCAGCACGACAGGCGAGGCCGTCGACCTGCGCAGCATCTTCTTCGCGTGGCTGAAGAAAGATGTTGCGATCCCGGAGTACATCGCCGAAGCGGAGGGGCTGAACCAGGCCCTCAAGGAGAAGCGGAACGATGACCCCGCGCAGCCCGAGGAGAAGGTCCAGAATCTGGTGTTCGTCGAGCGACTGGATCTGCTGACGTGGCTGGAGGGCGCATCCGAGGACAGTGAGTACATCAAGCCTCTGGAAGGCGAGGCCGCGGCGAAGGCGGCCGCGGCCGCCGCGACGGCTGCTGCTGCTGCTGCCGCAGCCGCAGCCGCAGCGGGGGGTGAGGGTAGTATCGGTGCGCAGGCTCAGGCGTCGGCCAATATTGCTTCGGGGGCGGCCGGGGGTGTCGCTACGGTGCCGAGTGGGAGCGGTGGTGGTGCGGCTGTGGCTGCAGCGTCCCAGCACGGCAGTCGGGCGGCTAAGGTGATTGATCCAAGATTACAGGAGATTTACAATGGGGAGAGGAAGATGGGGGACCGGAATAGTGTGTTGAGGGGGATTAAGCCGACGGTGAGTTTTGTCCTTAATGTCTCCTTTGGATGGCTAGATGCTAATCATTCTCTGGCTGAGGTTCAGGACTTTTCGCATGTACGCAAAACCGCAGAAACCATCCTGGGTCGGAATCGGTCGTCACGAACGGGGCAATATCCCGCGGGTGTCACCAAGCCGGGCAGCAAGCCGACCTCCTCCTCCTCCTCCTCGATGGTGCCGGTGCCCGCGCCGTCCGCCGGCCTCTCGCAACCCCGAAGCAGCAAGAGCAGCTCCAAGACGCAGGATCCGATCATCCTGTTGTCGCCGTCTGCATCGTCGCTTATCCGCATGTCCAATGTGCGCTCATTCCTCGAGGAGGGTGTCTTCATCCCGCCCGACCACCCCACGTTGGCCACGGGGACGAACAGCAACATCCTCTACATCAATCGACCCCTTCGCATCCAAGAAAACTCCTCCAGTACCTCTCTCCTTCGCTCCGGGTCCAGCGCGTCCTCCTCCGGCTCTCGCAAGCCTACGCGTTTCATCCTGGTGGACAGCACCGCCAACTTCCGGCCCGATTACTGGAACCGCCTGGTGGCCGTCTTCACGACGGGCCAAACCTGGCAGTTCAAATCTTACAAGTGGTCCTCTCCGCCCGAGCTATTCAAACATGCCACGGGTGTCTATGTGGGCTGGCGCGGGGAGGACAGTCCGCGCGAGGTCCGCAACTGGGGCCGTGGGGTCCAGAGCTTCTCGGTCGAGCGGTGGGACGAGAAGGGCGGGGTGAACGGCACCGGGCGGTGGAGAGATCGTGAGGTCGTCGAGGGCATTTGGTCGGCAATTGAGGAGGGCATGCGACTGAGAGGCTGGGCTGGCAAGTAGACCTTGAAGTGGCCGGTTGTATCTTTCTGGATATGATTGGGCCGGGGGGGCGCGGTTGTTCTGTCAGGGAGCTTCGGATTGTCTTCTCCTTATCTTCTTCGGGGGGGGGGGGTTGCCTCGATTTTGGGATGTCTGCGACGAACAGGCGCGCAAGAATAATATCTTGAAACCAAGGACGTTTCACCCTGTGTCTCTTGGCTCGATTTCGAGGAGTTGCCGTCTGATGATGTCTTGGGTTTAAGGGAGGGACCCTCACCCCTGTGAGATTAATTCATGTACTCTGACTGGAGTCATGAGTCGAATCTCCAGCCATCTCTCCATCTACCATCTACACAAACCGTCCATCCAGCCACTTGACCCTGACCCCGACACATACATACGAACACACACGAAGACCACCACCCCTCCCCGAGAGACCTCCATCTGAAACAAATCCACCCAACCTACAACCTACAACCTACCGCTCCACTCTCCTCCAGCATCCAGAGTTCTTGGAGGATGTGTATACATTCCCCTGTATTCTTCCCCATTCCCACCCTCATCCAAGCCGACACTGCTTCTTTTTTTTTGGGATTCTGCTACGAAGGGCGTAACGGTTATATCTACTTCTACTTCTGGGCTT